CGCGACACCCACATTTTGCAATAAAACATTCAAAGTCCGAAAAAGGCACTGAAATAATTTTCATCGCATTGAAATTTGGACAGTTCAGTTTAAAAGAAGTTAACACATTTAATTTCAAATTTGAACTGCAAAGATTTCAGAGAAATGACAAATTTGGCTTCGGTATCGCTGAGTTAAATATTCAAAGAAAATAGTTGTTTTAGGATAATTTATCAAAAAAAAAAGTCTTCTAATAACTTGCTATCTCTGGAAAATAAAGTAACTGGAGAGATGTAATTTAACTTCATTTTCTGCTTATCCTCTTTAATCCATTCTCCTACCAAAATACTGAAAATAATCAGGTCTCACAACAACACTCACGGTTCCTCTGTCGAAGTAAAAACACTGACTTAACTGAAAACAATGAAAACACTGAAATAACTTCCATAACATTGAAATGTTCATTTTAAAAAGAGTCGACACATTTATTTTTCAATTTGAATTTTCCGAGAAATGATAGACTTGATCTCCGTATCGCAAAATTAAATATTTAGAGAAAATAGTTGTTTTTTTACAATTTGTCAAAAAACAAAATTGCTGATAACCAAATATCTCGACAAAATAAAATAACTGGATGGTTGAAACTTGGATTTACCGTTATCGTATACATCACTTCTTTTCTGCTTATCCACTTTAATCCATTCTTTTGTCAATCAAAACAAATACGGAAAATAATCAGGTCACAGAACAAAAAAAATACGTCTACAACTACATTCACTGGTCCCGCTGTCGAAGTATAAAAAGTGCGATTTTCGTATTTCTAACCATTAATAATTCCACTATTTCTGAAGAAAATATTCTTAGATATGGTAGGCGTTCGCCAAAGTTTTGTACAGCAAATTATAATCTTTTTTAACAAGCTTTACTGACTACTCATCATGCAGGACTATTCAAGAATAAATTTGCTTCATTATAACATTCATAAGGTTGAGGTCGAAAAATGTCTAATAAGCCGAGTGTTAACCGAACTGCTAAGCTTGAATGTAATTGCTTCCAAATCGGTTAATTAGGACATAAGTAATTGCTTCTCAACCAGTTAATTACTAATTAGGCAGCAACCTTCTCCAAACAGTTGGGCAGAAACCATTTTCTTGAGTTAAGGCCTCTGGATTAAACTTCATTCAGCACTACAGAAAACCACTTGATTTCACGAAAAAATATAAGTTAATATTTCATTAGCTTGTATTTATTTGTTTTTTTCAAGGTTTCCATGATTCCGTGAAGAATGGCTCACATCCTTACTTTCTTTTCATTGATTTTCAACTTATAAGCAAGATTCTTTACAAAAGGCATGATAGTGAGAGAGATCATAAACCAAATCCTTGAAGATCAGTATGAAATTTGAACAAATTCGTTCATAAATGTCACTATTCCAACAATGAATACAAAAAATTAGCAAACTATGTCGTTCCGGATCGAGTCCGGTTCAATATCTCCAGTTGAAATCGGAGTAAATTAATGACGTCAAACGAATACTTTAGGAAATATCGGTTTAACATTTTAACAGTGACTTCAGATATGGCAAAGTTATCCGGATTTCTTCTTCTCGTCATTTATTGTGCTGCAGCGCCGGGTGCTGGGCCAGGAAGAGGTATTCGTCCCTTTTTATCATTCCATTTTGCCTCCAAATGAAATCAAGTTGATGGTATATTTTAGTTTTACCATCATCCCCTGTCGTGTCATTCATTACCTTTCCTGTAATTCGAACTATAATTGGTATCAGTACGAATGTCACAGACGTTTATTCTTTACCAAAAAAGTAACGAGGGTAGAGTAATTAATACTCAAATGGTATGACGGAATGGAATCCATAAAATGTAGAAACCAGAACTTTATCCCATCCTAATGGGATGATTAATCAAAGCGACAGTAACAAACTCAAAGATTAATACTTGTTCGGCAGTATTACGCCGATAAGTCCTGGCATCAATTTCAGTTATGGCGATTGTTATGCATGGTGAAGCTGACAAGTTGTGGGACAATGACCAATTAATAGGGACAGTGCAATTAGAATGTATGTTTACATCATGGAAAATTACATACTAGTACTGTTTGATGTTGAGTGATTGCTCATTTCAAAAACATCCAAATTGACAATTCTTTCTATCATAGTAAGCAAATTTCTGATTCACTCATTAACTTCTTTCAATTAGATAAGACACAAATTTGCATAATTATTTGTACTTAATGATATTATCAGTATGATTATAGCAACAGTGACAAATTGTGGCACAAGTGAGGATGGAAGACTGCCTGCTTTGGGGGAAAATCCGATGCCTTTTGTGAGAAACATCCTTGAATTGATAAAGTGATATGGTTCGCAAAGTGAAATTAGACACCTGTAAATATACTTAATTTGAAAAGGCTAATGATCATATCTCGCAATAAAGATTGGTGATCATAATTTCGACAAAATGAGATTAGATTGCTAATAAGGCAAGTGGAAAAAAAGAAAGTTAAACATGGAGGAAACAAGAAAGAACGTGAGGAAAACTATTTATTTAATAAAATTAACTAAATTAGCACATGAAAAGAACTAAGGTATGCAGTAATATATGGTACTTTTGACCATTTCAAACCATTTACCTCAGAATTACCGATAATACCGGCAACAAAAAAAATATTGCCGCATTATTCCCAAGAAGAACCTTTTATAATTTACAGCAGAATCCGTCCTGGGATGTTCTCACTTATGAGTCAAGTTGATTTTGCTTACTTTTCTCAAACACAAAAAATTTTGCGCCTGTTCAGGCGGTGAAATTAAAGGAATAAATGATAAATGGTAGAACAGCGCATAATTTGCTGCAACAAATGAGCTAAAATCACTGTGAAAACAGTCGAATTGATGAAATTTGCGATTTGATGTAATTCTTGTAATCTGCATCGGCAATTTAGTCGCCGATGAAATTAGATTTTTGGAAGTTTGTTGGAACAAAAAAAAAATGGAAAGAATTACATTGGGATAAAGTATTTCGAAATTTAATTATAATTGATAAATATAAAATGAATTAATTTTTACCATTGAAATTCAATAGTTAAATTGAATTACCATATGATCAGTTTATCGGCTATATTATATTGAATTTCCTTCGTCTCATCTCAAGACTTTTTTCCAAAATTTTTCCGAAACTTCTTTTATTTAGTGCAAGAAGAAGAAAATTAATGTCTGGTTTTTTTCCTACGAGGGAAATGATCACTGACTTATCTTTGATCTCTGATTAACTATTTTGTATGAATATTTGGTTTCAAAGAAATAACAAATTTATTTTCGGTATCGCAAAATTAAATGTTTGATGTAGACAGTTATTTTCGATAACTTATTGAAAAAAGAAAAATCTAATAATCTGTTATTTCTCCAAAGTAAAGTAACTGGATAGTCGCAATTTAGCTTCATTGTCATCATTCACACCAC